GTCTTTGTTACCATACACGTTTGTGAAGAGAAGTCCATGTTTTCTAAAAGACTTTTTACAAACCCACAATGTCAATAGTATGTGCATTATAGTTTTAACTTAGTATCTCCTTTGTCATTCCTTCAAACATGACTTTTGAACACATGCATGCATGTTTCTCTTCTCTACCATATTAGCAGACATGAGGAGGAATTACGATGGACAGTTGTTCTTACTTTTAAATGTACGTAATTTATGATTGCAAATTTTACCGTTTTCTAGAACACAAGTAGTGCGTGAACTGAAATAGAGTACAGTGATATCAGTGAGCTTTGGATCGTTACTATCTATTTATCCTGCAAGCACATAACAAAAATGTATTGAGACATCTTGTACTGTGTATTCACACCAGAAAAAATGATAGGACTTTCCCCTAAAAGTATGTTGTCCAAATCGGTGCTACCAACACGTTTTTACTAGCTATCCCTACTCCCAGTCACCTTTGATCATACCTCTGTTTGCAGTTGATCCCCAGTTTTAAATTACAATTTCTGTCAGATATCCAGCCTCAAGTTTTAACTGTTCAAATCACTGATATGAGATCCACAAGTCCGGAATAAAGACAGGATTCATTAAGTTTGGATTCCTTTCTCTTCATAATACCACTGCATGAGAGATGAGTGCAAATCTGTGAATACAGACAGTTGTGTTCCTGTATGATGTGAAGGGCCCAGTACACAGAGTATCACTACAAAACATCTAGGAAAAGCCACTTCAATGTACCCGTTAAAGACAAATTTTTGTTAATGTTGATTTTATCAGTTTCAACCCTGTGTGTTGACTTGGTACCAGGATTTTTTTTTGCTTCATCTTCATCTCAGATAACCACAAAAACCTACATAATTTCAGATGTTAGATTTTTAAAAATTTTTTATTTCTGTCTAATTTTTTTAGTTTTCTCCTGCAAGGTAGTGACTGAGCAGCTGTAAGCATGTCACTTTTTTTCTTCTAACAGTAACTAGGGAAAAAGCTTTTTGTTTTGTTATTGTTTTAAGTTTTCCTTTTAATGCTACATTTACGCCTGCTGTTACACATTTTGGTTTTTTCCCCCTACTGTTCGTGTATGTTAAAATAAACATCTCTTTATTTCTCTTTATAGGCTTCTAAACAACAATCAAATTAAAAGAATACCTAGTGGGGCATTTGAAGACCTTGAAAACCTGAAATATCTGTAAGTTAAATGAACGTCATTTTCTGCATCAATATGTAATTGAACTTCTTCAATGAGAAAGTGTTTTAATCTGAGATTGTGTTTTAATCTGACTCACTATCTCAGGAGATAAACTGCTTTGAAAATCTGTGAAATGAATTTATGGGGTGGGGGCAACTTGAATCTTTGTTTCTGTAAGTAGATACCTTGAGATTTGCTAATATAAGACTGTGACAGCTGTAGGCAGTAGATTTTAAACCACTTACTAGTTGCTGTTTACTATATGAGACTTAAAAGATGATTTAAAAAGGGATATGTTTAAAGGTTTAGGAGGTCACCTCTTTAAAGGTTCAGTGAAACCTTCTGACAAGTACTTTTTAACTTCGTGTTTTGAAAAGTGGTTTAAAAGCAGCCAGTCCAAGATTTGTGTTTACAGAAGCTTGTAACTTATATAAGCTTCTTAACCACTCCTAAATTGTTCACTGGATGCAGTATAAATTCGTAAGAGAAAAATCAAGTCAAACACAAAATAGAACAGTACCTATATGTTTGCCTGTAAGGCCTGTGTTCAGGCAACCTGTATATTTTAAGAATAACTCCTCCCTTTTTAACAAACATACCAAGTGTATTAATTACCCAAATAAACAAAAGACATCAAAAAATTGTTATTTTTATCTGCAAAAAAGAGTTGAATAGTAAGTTGTCATGGATTCTCAGCTTTAGTCTCTGGAGTCCACCTTATGAAGTAGACTTACTTAGAAGTCATGTAGAAAAGTTTCACTCCGTTCTCTTGGAGTATTGATCATTGCTTGAGTGCTGTACAGAAAAAAAAATGGTCACTTTGAGATTTCATTGTTTTGGAAACAATTCAGAAACTTAATTTTCCATCTAGTTTTCAAGAATGCAGCCTGAATAGCTCTAAGGAGGTGGGAGAAGGGGGGAAAATAAAAATCACATAAATTTGTGCAGACACATTACCCGGTTTTCCATGCTGTGTTTGATTACATTTCATGGTCTCATTTTTATGTGTATTGTCTTTCATTAATAAAATTGTTTAAACTATATACAACTAGAGGAAAAAGAATACTGAACAGACTATCCCCAATGAATTATTAAAGTCCATGATGATTGTATTTGTAACAAGATGTGTTTGTATGTTGGATCTGGTAGCGCAGTACGTGAGGTCTACTAATTCAGGATGGCTAAGTTCATTCCATAGTCAGCAACTGTGCAGAAATACTACTTGGTTCTTGTTAGTTCTTTATTTTCACATGCTTGCCTTTGCCTAGCTGTAGTAAGCCTGAGATAAAACTCAACTATGCACTCTGTTCAGTTCAATAGAATAGTGAAAAGAAACAACTGAACTATGATTTGTTTGTTTTCATATACATGTAGTAATGTTTATCTATATCTATATTGTTGAGAGGAAGATGTTTTCCTTTTCCTCTTGTTCCCTGGAAATTTTGAATATAAAGTTCAATGTGGTAGTTCATTCAACTGCAGAGAGCTCTTCTTTAAAGCCATCCCCCGTTTTGCTAAAATAAACTTTTAAGATCTTTTTGCCTATTTCAGTGGCTGTGATATAAATGTTTAGCCTTAAACTGTACAGCCTTAAAGTTACAAAAATGCTGGTACTGGTCAGATATCAATACAGAAGGCTCAAATGTACCAAATAAATACAGTTTAGCTGTGAAAATGTTAGCTGAGTAAGTACATGCTAAGTGTATTCTATGGAACAAAGGAAACAAAACGGCCTACTTTTCCCAATAGGATGAACTGAAATAGAAATTAGGGGGATGGAAACCATATTATTTATTAAAAGTCAAAAATATTGTTCAGAATTTAATATTATATAACCAAATCATCTGGAATATTTGAGGCTTTGAATGGTTTGATCCTATGGATATTTGCAAACCTAACTTGTATTGTCCTATTTCATAAAATGAGATCATTAGTCCATGATGTTTTTTATGTTCTTATGACAACTGAAGTACTACACTGCAGATGGTTCTGAAAATGTATAATTCAGTGAGTAATTTTAGAAAACATGTCATTTCTCAGTGGCTTTGATTTAGCGAAATATAAGTATATATAAATATAAAATATATAACTATTAGTAAATATAATTATATAAGTATGTATAAAATACATGTAAATATATAGTTATATATAAAATATGTAAGTATAAAACATAATACAGTATTTTTAAAAAAAGCCAGTGTCTGAGAGAGACACGTCAAGGCCCATTCCTGTATCTTTGCTGCAGTTTTTGGTCTTTTAGACAAAACTTTTTCCAGCAAGTCTCAAAGAAGCCCCGGGATCTTAAAAAGCATCTTTGTACTGTTTATTTCTGAAATTGAGCTTAGAGTTTTATGAGGTATATAAGTTTTCAGAATTGTCTCTCTGGAGAACAAATTTTGACAGAGTAATAATATTTTCTCAATTTTCTGTGTATTAAAAATATTCATAATTGTAAAAGTTGGTCTTCACAGTATAAAAAGAAAATTACGCACATATGATTTTTGAATCTTATTTTTAAGGATTATTTGTTTTCTTGTTCTTTATGTAATTGAAATCTTGACAGTTCTATAAACAGTTTTGCGTGATCTTGCTGTGCTGTTTGTGGTAATAATGTCTTTGAATTCATATACTAAAAGTTGGAAAGAAATAAATGTCATTATTGTTTTGCTATGAAACCAAGAGGATACTTTTTCTTTCTGCCTTTCTGTCTGTCTGTCTTATTTCATATACCTTAGTGTTAGCAATATGGCTCTTTAATAAGGATTAAAAAGGCATTAGTAGCTTGGATCCCATCCATAATATAGTTTCTTTCTGCACTTCAGTGATTCTGTATGATTTTTTTGGTCTTATGTTCCCTCTTCTACAAAGGATAATGTAAGCAGTCCTGTCTAAAATAAACTTTGAAAGTTGTCTTCATATGAGCAATTAAATTGGTAACTTGTTTGTAATTTGGTGCTCCGGATACAAGGTGTATATGTATACATGATGTATATGGTACACTGAACATATTTAATTGACTTCCTTTGAGTTATTCAGTTTACTGACTAGAGGTGGTAGTACAGAAAGATGAGAAAGAAAAGTTTCCCAACCTTTTAATATAGATGCAGGCAGATTTGTGGAACCTTGGTAGGATAATCCTTCCTGGTCCTGAAAGTCAGCAGTTTATTCTCCAAGACAGAAGATAAGTGGAAACTGAAGGTAGAGACATATTACAGTTTTAACATGTAGGATATTAGAAGCAGTGGAAAAAATTAGGTTAAGGTAAAAAGAAAGAATTTAGGGAGGAGATATGGAAAAATATAAAATATAGATTAGCGATTACAAAGATCTTTCCAGATAGAGAGAAGGTACTTGATATTTATGGAGCAGTAAACTAGACGCGAGTGGGAAGGAAGTGAAGGAAATAAAAATGGAGAATGAAAATTACTTCGGCAACAACACTGAGACATGTTCACTTAGTAAGAAATGGAGAGGTGAGGAATCAGACATGGCAACAGTGTGATACGCAAATGATAAATGGAAATTAAGACTCTATGAAATGTATTAGTTCTGGAAATATGAAAAGGGAACATGCAAGATTTGTTTTGCATTTGGTGAATTAAGTAATAATGGTAGAAGATACATTGTAGGTTTGCCAAAGTGCGGAGCTGCTCACCTCACCTTTCCAGAAATGGGATTAGGTCACGTTTCCTTCTGTGCCTTCTGCCACCGTTGCTGTCATGTTACTTTTTCCTTTGATACCTCCTATAATTCCCGATCTAATTTCTTTGCAATTCATGTTGCTGATTCCGCCAACTGTCTCTTTAATATTTTTATATAAATCTCTATTTACTATATTCATTTACTTGCCAGGTTTTACTCTATACTGCCTGATATTGCCATTACTTTGAATCTTTTTTTCTCTTGTTCCAAATATATCTGGATCTTGCTTTCCTTAAATCATGTGACTTGTAATACAATCCATAAAAACCAAAAATTATCCTCATAGGGGATCTATCAAACTTTTAATTAAAACTTTTTTCTAAGTTTCTGATAACTGTTTACCTATTTTTTTGTTCATTTCCCAAGTGTATGACCAGTACCTCTGGCCCCTATCAGCCTTGCTTGCATTTCTGGAAAGAGCTCTTTTTTTTTTTTTTTTTTAACTCTTCGGAAAACAGTTAGTAGTAATTGCCAGAAAATAATTTAATGTCTTAATAGAATATATCCCTTGTCATCTTAATCCACTGTTTATTCATTGTTTGAAAAAGTCTAATGGTTCAGTTGTGTAGTAGAGCTTTTAGGTAAATCAAGTAAGTTACTTTGTCCCTAATTATACTTTAAATCAGTCTTCTGCTAATGTGACTGGGATAAATTTTGAGGGTTTTTTTTTTAGCGCAGTGGTTGCAAAGTTTCACCCGTTAGGCACAGTAGTATTTTAGAAAGACATAAATATTTTTTGTGAGTGCTACTTAGTTGTAGTATTGTATCATCTCTCTCTTCATTAGGCAAATTATATATTTTTTTTTAATCTTTCTGTTAATATCCTCAAGGAAACATCTACACAACTAAATGAAAGTATGGTTAGCACATCTGCCATAGGACATAGGTTTTTGTAGCCTTGGGTTGCTGGGGTTTCTCTGTGGAGGGGTAACATGATGGACTGAGGTCAGTTGAGTGTCCTGCAGCTTCAGGGTTTTCTGATCAACATGGAAAAAGATGTAGTTTAAAGTTGAATCCCAAATAAAGTCCTAACACAGTGGCTTGGTAAGAGCTCCGAAAGTGGACATGAAAGACTATTCCCTTCCCTGCAGTATGATGGTAAAAGTCTGCAAAACTACAAAGTCATTATCCCGGTCTTCCTCTAACCAACCCTTGTTCTTCACACTGCCTTACTTTGTCTGCAGAAAGTAAATAAAAGTTACATCAGTGAGTCTGGTAAAACTTTTTTTTTTAAAATTAGATTAATTCAAACTTCTTGTGGGTATTTGAAGAATTTTATTTGGGAGACACTTAACTGAGGTCAGTTAATAAAAGCATCTTGGCCCACTCTGGTTCACTGGTCTGATCAGAAGTTTAGCACTCAGAGGAATAAGAGGAATTTCCAAACTGCCAAGTGGAGTGTATTAAGAAAGGTAAATAACACTTCGGCTGTTCAGTCTTTGAAATTTTCGAAGGAGTGAGAAGAAATGGCACATTTAAAATTCTCACTGGAAAATAAGATAGGAATTTAATATCCTACAGAGAGGAAAATGAAGGAGAGACAAAATTGTAATGACTATGAACCTCAAATAAACTGGTAAATCAAAACAAATATTTCAATACCTGTGAAACGGTATTTTTTGCAAATAGAATAAAAACCAATTCCACATCCAAAATAAGTGACACCTATTCTCTCTCTTTTAAATTATTTTTAAAGTTTTTACAGTCATTTCACATGACAGTATTTTTTTTTCCAGTTTAATTTGTTCAGAATTTTGAGCATTTAAAAAACCTCACAAATTTTTGCTTATTAGTTATTCTGTTATCGGAGGAACTCTGCTTTTTGTTCAGATGGGTGTCTATGTTAATTAAGTACACCTGAGTCTCTATATATTAATGTGTTGGAATCTCAGCAAGCAATGCAGTGGAAATTAGACTAAATTTAGACTCAAGGGAAAGATACTACTCCATATTGTCCCCTGAAGTTGTCATGACGTGAACATCTAGTTATTCTGTTATCGGAGGAACTCTGCTTTTTGTTCAGATGGGTGTCTATGTTAATTAAGTACACCTGAGTCTCTATATATTAATGTGTTGGAATCTCAGCAAGCAATGCAGTGGAAAACTAAATTTAGACTCAAGGGAAAGATACTGCTCCATATTGTCCCCTGAAGTTGTCATGAGGTGAACATCAGATGTCTACAACTTTTTTCCTTATTAGGGCCTATTGTGAAATGTTGCCCTTTGTCGAGTCAGTGTAAAAACTGCCAGCAACTCCAGCAGAGCCAGTATTTTATGTGTTGCATCAAAAGAAGTTTGTAGTATTTCCAGTAAGTTACTGAAAACTGTAGTAATAGAAAAGCCAAAACCACTACTAATAAAATGCCTGCTAATAAAGCCATTTGTGGTCCAAAGTCTCCTTATCCCTTTTTCATAGAAATCCATGCCTGATTAACTGAATTTCAAGCCGTTTGTGAAATAATTGTGAGAAAGTTCTTACTGCGAACTTGTTCCTAACCTAACACAAAAAGAGGGTGACTGACACTGAACCCCAACAGTATTTTCATTCGCTGCCTCCATGCAGAAACTGCAGTCATCAGCTAAACTGTGTGATTTTTCTCCAACACTGTCTCACTAAACCATCCTTACTGTTAAAAGCATGATGAACGTGAGCACATACACGGATCCATCCTGATTTATTTTTATTCTGTAGAAAAGGTATAGACAGCACACGTGAACGTACTGGTACACTGCATATGTTTATTCTGTTTATATTATAGAGTATCAATGGGGACCTAACGTCCATCTTCTACACAGTGATAAAACAAATATGCAATGCTGTTTTATGGATGCAATACCAATATTCTAACTTGTATTTTTTGGTAAATATTCAAAAGGTGACACAGGCAGAGTTATAGAAATTCTCACTGTTTGTTCTCCAAGTCCAGTAAAAAGACTAATTCCATCATAATTTGGATATTTGTACCAGTATCCAGATGAGATATTTTACAGAAAGTAAGAGGCCAATGGCGTCCCCGGTGTGTTCTGGTAAAGGCACTTCTGATGCAATTCTGTCCCATTTAGCTGAATTTATTTTTACTTTTGGCAAGCCCATCAAGAAACTGAGGGGCAAAGAAACAGTAAGTAGTAACAGTGAGCACTGGGAATCTCAAACCATCGGGTGACAGTCTCAGGCCCTACAAGGCCCCAGACTTTTGTCTTTCCTGCCAAACGTTTGGGATGAAATCTCAATGACGAAGTATTTTTATGTGTATGTGTTTAGTTTTTGTTTTGTATTTTTTTTCTAATATGTAGTTGAAAAACTGTCTTCATGTGTCAACTTAATTCTTCTTTTCCACCTTCACGTAGCTCTTGTTTGTGTACTAATATTACTGATTGTTTCTTGTTTCAGCTATTTGTACAAGAATGAAATCCAGTCAATTGACAGGCAAGCATTTAAAGGACTTGCCTCTCTAGAACAACTGTAAGTGCCTTTTCTCTTCTGTGCTGTCATCTCCATGGTTCCCCTGCAGAGGAAAAGTGCACGCCTTGATCCATACATCCTGCCTGCATGCTCTGCATGTCTGCACTCCGTGGGTTGTTAGGCAGAGCGCCCCATAATCGTTTGCATGTGGAAAAACAAAATCGATCTCTGTGTCAAATTCCTCATTTCTATGTTTGTCTTTTATTTGTGATTTGCGTTCCCGGTGTCCCTATACATTGTTACATAGCTTTGACGAAGAAGCAGCATTATTGTGGAAAATGTTGAAAAATAATGTGTATTGCTTAGAGAGAGCATTTCATTTCTGTAGGTTTTATAACATTACAATTCCTTTGACTGCAGCAGTTACTTTGTTTTATGCCAGCATAACTAAAGCTGAATTAGTCTCTTGAAGTTTAATCCAGTTTTATTATATTTTCAAACAAGTAGAGATTTTAAAATTAAAACCTTACTATTACTGACACGTGTTAAGCATTGCCATATACAGATGTTTAAAAAGTAAGAAAGTTCATTGTTTGTAATGTAGATGTTTCAGTAATGTCTTCTAGAAAGATTGATTAAATTCATACTCCTTTTCCTGTATAATGACTTAAGAATAATTTCTATTGAAAAAGAATGAAAAATGCAGTCATTAGCATGACAAAAACTGATTGTATTCATTCTATTAAGTTAACTATATTTTATTTTATAATCAGAAAGCATTACTATACGTTCATTGTGGTAATGTTTAGAAAAACAGAGAGCGCTATAAATGCATAGCTATTTCACAGTTTGACTGCCAAATAACAGTACTAGACCAATGAATTTTGTAGCATATAAATTTTGAGGGCTGAATATCTTTATTCTAGGACCAACATACATTTTGAAACTCCTGACAGTTATCAGTGTATTACAGGTTTTCTAATGTGTGTACCCGTTTCCTTGTTACTATAAACTGTTAGTGGATATTAGTGGACACACTGTGTATCTGAAATAAAATGACACTTCAGATGGGTACAAAATCATACAAGCTCATTTTAGAGTGCAGTAGATGCCTTTTGAAGGAAGAGCTTCTGTACAAAACAGAAGTGATAATTGTAAAACATATATAAATGTCATTTGTTTCCTTAATGCCTTTCTCTTCCTCTTCCTCCTACTCTAGAAATGATTACTGCAGCATATTGACAGCAACTGGTAGGGCTTACTGCATGCTAATAGCATTTCTTATTTTCTGTGTAGAACCTTAAATATTGAGGCCCATTTATTGAATTACTAATTCTTCCAAAATACTATTCTTCCACATGCCACAAGTCGGATATGCTGCGAGTGGCAACAGTTGTCCTTTTTTCTTTTGCGCTATTTCCTGTTGATCTATGTTATGACTGAAAAACATAAATCACTTTGGAACATTAACACCTTCAGAATGTACTTTTCCGCTAGGTTGCAGTTAAGTCTCTCTGCCCGCGGTGATATCACACAGTATCAGCTTAAGCTCTAACTTGAGACATTATTCTAACATTATTCTGTATGAAATTAAGTTTTAAACAAGGTTTGAGTCTCACCTCTAGCTGGGAAATGTGGGAACGGAGCCTGGCACAGTCACTGCTCAGTGACTGCTCTTGTGTCATGGCGTCAGTTGCCACCGGCAGTGCCTATGGCTGGTCTGGTGAGCTGCCGCGGAGGGTTGCTGCCCTGCTGGTTTCACATCAGAAAGCTCGCTTCTTCTAGAGCCCTTCTCCTGGGCAGATCTTAAAAAAAGAAGGCTCGCCCGGTGGGAAAATGGGAGCACAGGAAGCCAGTGGCAGGCCTGGAAATAAATTTAATGGAGGATAGTCACTGAGATTTGTAGTTTATGAGAGATTTGTCGTTTATGCATCTTTAGCGTAAAAATAGGTTCTGACTCTACAGGGTCTGTTTTATCACATTATCTTTGGAGAAAGACTGTGTTCACAAGACAAAAGTTAGTTTTTGTGAACAAGTTCCCAAGCCCTCTAACTTCAGTTTGGGACTGTATCGACTACTCAGTCGATGTTTCTGCATTTGAGGCTTCTATGGCCTCAAGTTATCAAACACATTTTGCTACTGGATGTGTTGACTCAGCCAAATGCTCTTCTCAATGCTCAGCAGAGTTCTCAGAAGTAGGTGCTGTGGTCCACATCTCAGGGAAAGATTTGATTGTTAGTAATTTCTTCTACTCCAATGAAGCAGACCAAAACATAGTTTTGGTTTTTTTTTTTAAACTGAACAGGAAAGAAAACACTTTTCTGGTTTTTTTTTTTTGTTGTTGTTGGGTTTGGGGGTTTTTTTGTTGTTCTTTGAGAGAAACTGTAAATATAGGTTGATTTAGGAGGCCTGTTGCATGTATAAGGGAAGAAAAACCCCAGTATTTCATAGAATCATTAAGGTTGGAAGAGACCTCTAAGATTATCGAGTCCATTTACTGCAGCTGGCAGGATCCTTCTTAAACCTCCACAGCAGAATTCTTAGCTGCTGATGTAGTAGAAATGTCTTTTTCTTCAGAAATTTATGCCAAGGGAATAAGATCTTTGAATCAGATCTTGAAACTTGCTTGTGCTAGAGTAAATTCTGAAAAAACTTGGCAGTTTTAGATGCTCGAACACACTGAGCCATACATCTTTCGTCACCTAACTCTTCAGTCATGGCAGAGCATGAAGGGAGAAAGTCAGCTGATTAAAAGTGGCTGCTTAGTACCAGTTTAGACGCTGTTGAATCTGCAAGTCATATGTTTGGGTCTGGCAAATGTGACACAAAGCTGCAGGAAACTTGCATTTTTTCGGAGCAGCAGCCGGAAGGCAGGCAGCACCAGAAAGGCAACGAAAGCTGCCTCTATATGCTTGTGCTTAGACATCCGCTATATGCCTCGATATGCCTGTGCTTAGACCACTGAATCCCACCTGAAATGTCACAAATACCTGGCTTGGGAGGTCACGAGTTTGCTGTATCTGGATCCCAAGATCAAGCTCTAAATGCAGTCTATTTCCAGATGTGTGTACATTGCTTTTCTTCTAAATATCTACCTTTTTTTTTGAGATCTCAAAAGCTGTATGTATCAGGGACAAAAAGTGTTCTCTGCAGTCCTTAACTAGTGGGATTCCCAAATACTAATGGAATTATTTAAATCTGTTTGCCTAATCTTAGTGGAATACTAATTATGCATTTTCTTTTAACTTTCATATTAACATACTTATTTTGCTCTTTATAAGCTGTTATTAGAGTTATGCTGTAGTTTGTGTACACTGTACATATTTTGGGGGAAATTAATAAACGTAATTGATGTAAGACATAATAAAAAAACGTTGTCTTACATATAGTGATGCAGCTTGTTATAATCATTTTATTTCCCTCAGTTCAATTTTCAGTAGCTTTGAAATGTTGCTATGAATTTTTTAAGGTTTTATATTACAAAGAGTTCCTGGTTTTTGCATAACTGTATGTGAGCAGTTACGCACATTTAACACAGTGGAGCCTGAGTAAAGTCTCATTGCTGCTAAAAATACCTATGGTAAGAAATAATGAAAGAGAATTAATAAACAAACAAACAAACCAACCCAAAAGGTATGAAAAGGGGCCTTTAGAAGTACATCCTTATTATTCTAAAATAAGATCAGCTAGGGACAACAAACCTAGATGGCTGGAAACAGATATTTCTATAGCCTTATTTTAAAAGTCTTTAAAGAGAAGATTCCATAATCTCCTTAAGTACCCTGTGCCAATATTTTATATCATTACTGTAACATCTTATTTAAATATCTTTCCTGTTATTTCTTGTCATACCCCTGGGCAGGGAAATCTCTTCAGTAAATGTGGGAAAAATATGTTTGTTCATTCTCTTTCAAATAATCAAAATGGCAAACATTCTGTTTAAATATTCAGAACATAGATTATACTCAACTAATGGATTTTAAGTATTTCCCCAAAGATGTGGAGATACTATTAGAAATGAACAATTGGCATATAGGATAAAAGTAATCCTCTACAAAAATATCATGCTACAGAAGATATAATCCTAAATTTAGTGTTGTGAAAAATGCCACTGGGACTGAATTTTACTGTTAATGTTCATCCTCCAAGATCAATAACAAAGAGAAAATCTGTACCATGCTTATTTGATCAAATCTTTATCTTCCTCTAGGTGTGTTTGGTTTGGACTTTTTTTTTCCTTAAGTATTTCCTTCTGTTTCATCCTTGATAGTGAATTCAGAATTAAAAAAGGAAGACACAGGGATATTTAAAAATCACTCTTGCATGCTTTTTCTTTAAATTTCCATTATGAAAGTCTTTTTAGTATTAAATTCATTACATCATACTACTATTTTTAAGAGCATTTTATACTCTGAACATAAAAGATGTCTATAAAGACATGTCAGTGAGAGATTATTTCCTGAATATGATTACCTTTAAAGTGAATTTCCAGTCCAAGAAGTTCTCATATTAATTAAAATATTAAAAACCCTTTTAAAAAGCATTAACGTGGTACATAGAAGAAAAGAATGTAAGTGATAAACCTAAGTGATAAAATGTCATTAAAGTGTAGGTTGTAAAGCCAAGGATTTTTTATTCTTTTTACTGTAGATGTACAATGCAATCTGATTTCTGCATCTGTTTTTTTAGAATTACACTTGTTGCTAATTACTTTGTCCACATATTTAACACCTTGTTCTGTTCATAAATTGCCTGATAAGTTGCTTAGGACTTTTTTGAGGTCATGATTTAAAGACCTGCAAAACCCAAGTAGGTTGTCATATGAAGCGGTTAAGAGTGTTTTCCAGTTGGACTTCCTGATTTGATTTTTTTGAGCTACTTTAGGCAGCATGATTTCTGATGAGGTAAAGTTAACTGTTACAATGTGCTTCAGTGCCTGAATTATTGTAGCTGTATCTGTGATGATTTGCGGTTGTAAACAAGACAAGGTTTATAACAGAAGTATTGTTTTAATTAGACTGATTAATTTGGTTGGAAAAACAAGATGAGTTTTCAGACACATATTCTTTATACTTGTAATTATAGTAGTCTTGAATACTAAACAGCAGTTACGAGCTGTTGCTTTGAGTTTAGTGATGTATACATCACTTAAACCATCTGAGAGAGCTGTCCTTTCTTTTTCTCTCTTTGCTAATCTCACCTCTGATCCATGGACCTGAAGAAGGGATTGTATGCCTCAATGTGCCTGCTTTTACCAACATTATTTGTTGTCCTAGTAAGAGGTATTACCTACAAATCTTGCCTTGTCAATGCCAAAGAAGTACAAGAGATTAATTTATTGGGAAGATAAGGAGATACGTTTGCAAGGTGCTCATGAATCATAAAAATGCAAGTAGAATTAACAAAGTTAAAAAGGAAAAAATCCCTGTTGGCTGCACAAGAAGTAGCGTATGTAACTTTTTTCCAAAATCAAAGCTGCTTCAGAAGAAGTAACAAACCCTATAGTTGTGTCTGTTTTTTCCCTTTGTCCTCTTTCACTGCAGTCATCCCCAGCTTGCCTTGCCCCCTCCCAAAGGCTGCTGATGCTGGGGAGGTGGGCGAGCAGAGCCCTGGCTCCTGCGAGCTGTGCCTGCCCACCTCACGGCCAGGCCCTGCCCGTGGGGCAGATCCCTGCCCCGTCCTGCCAGTCCTTCCTCAGGGCTGGACCTGACTGAGGTCTCTCTTCTCTCCGCTGGCAATTCAAATGAACCTTGCAGGAAGTATCTGCCTTTGAGGCGTGTGTCTTTTTAATTTAGATGAAATTGGCCTGTATTTTCAAAAGGGAGGTGAAGACTGGCAGGCACAGCATGATTATGCACTTCGTGTTTCCTTATGCAAACAGGATCATACACTGTGCTCACTACAATTTGTGGCCATGCGTTGCGCTGGCAGTAAGCAGACTTGACACTCCGATGTGCCTGATCACATCCGTGCTGATTTATTGGCTTTTTCTGTGATCCCCATTCATTGCTCCCTGGCATCGCTTGCTGGCTTACGCTCGGGCCATGCTGCTGCTGGCAGGGGATCTGGGAGACTGCCAGGCACGTGCCTGGCTTCCCTGCCACACGCGTCTTCCAGGGCTCGCTGCAATGACTCTCTGCTGTAATTGCCGCTTGTTCCCACTTCCCTCTCTCTGCGGTGACCATTCGGCTCAGGTCAGGGAGTAGAGTATGTGCAGTGTTTCAGCACAAGGGAGTTCCCGTGTCCTTTTGCTTTTCATGCTGAAGGATTGATTTTTCAGGAGATTTTGGGGTCTGAGATTTTCTCTTTGTTTTTAAATGATGGGCTTTTTCGTTCTTCAGCCCATAGCGATTGCTGTATATGTACATTCTCCAGATGTTCCTGAGTTCGTCAGAGGTCAAATAGGAAACTTTAGGAGGCTTGGATACATTCGGATATAATCAGGATCCAAAGTTTATAAATAATTTTCACAGTTCCTTGTGCAAGTCTTATCAGTTACTTCTTGTTTTCTCATCTGCAAGGTTATGGAGTACCTCCACAACATAGTCAAGACTGGAATGATACTGCCTTTGCAGTCCATTTTCACAGCAGTTACAGATTAATAATCTGGTTAATTATCTTGTTACCTTAGACTTTTTCAGTTTTACAGGACTAACAGCTGTATAATATTTGTTGCTGTGTGATATTAATAGCTTACGTAAGCATCAGCAGAGCATCAAACAGGGCACAGCTATGGTGGTTAATTGTGCACCAATTGCTGGGAAGCCCTTTGTCTAAAAGCAATTCAATCAAACTTGTTTTTATATTACAAATTTGTTTGGCTTTTGAGCTTTTGAGAGCGTTTATAGCTTTAAATGCCAGTATTCATGGACTAGAGCAAGTTACTTCTCAGCATCTTTTGAAATTTTCACTCAATGTGATAGCAATGAAAACAGTTGCCCACTAAAAATGTTATTCTGTTGCAGATTGTTTAGAAAATATTTAATCTGCAACATTTTCCTGTAAAATAACATAATTCTCTTTTTTCCATATATATTTACTCAAGTATGCATACTAATGAAAATTAGAGTTGGCAAAAGAGTGTTCAAAGTAGTATCTCCAAAATCTTCAAAGTAATGGTTTTCAAACAATTTTTTTCACACATTATGTACAGGCGCGCGCACACAGACACACACGCTATATAGTGGTCTGCAAACCCTTCTTGTTTGTCATGTCTTGTATTTCTCAGATTCAAGTACAGGATTCAGATGATAACAGAAGAAAATTAAGCCACTACATCACTATCACCATTTAGATGTGTAAACAATAACAAACGCTTTATAATATTTCAGCTTCATTAAGAAAACTGTTTCAGTATTTTTCTCTTTGTTTAACATATTTTCAGGTATCTGCACTTTAATCAAATAGAAACGTTGGAACCTGAATCCTTTACTCATCTTCCAAAACTTGAAAGGCTGTAAGTTTGTTTTTCTTGGGGTAAGATTCAGAAGTCAGCTTGCTTCTTTGTTTGAATTAAATCAAATGTTTGAAACTGGAAAATAATATTTTTATCATTCCCATAGATTATTTTTAATCTAATTTTTTTATTGGAACTACTAGATAGTCTTTGCCAAGAACACTTTGGTCAGGCTAACCTTAGAGGCATGCAGAAGTGAGCATTGCCTATTGCAAAACTATTTCCCAAAGAGGTGTGATCAATGTTTGGCCTAAAATAAATGTTATTAATAAGAAGTAGAAGATTTATATTATGACCTTTTTTTTGTTTGTTTGTTTCTCATTTGAATGCTTATGAGCTCCCTTCCTTTTTGTTACTTTGTCTTCTTATGGCTTCTTTTTCCCTGTATGGACACATCGCATACACCTTGGAGGCCGCTTAAAAAATAGCAGCCAATGAATTGCTGAAAAAGGTTCAATTTTTTTTTCTTTTGTAAAATTACTTTCTCTTAAAGGACTCTCAGAAGAATGTAAATGAAATGAGTACGTCTCAAAATCTGAATTATTACATGCATATTTCTGTGCTTTTTAACAGATTTTTGCATAACAACAGAATAGCTCATTTGATTCCTGGAACATTTAGTCACTTAGAATCTATGAAGAGACTGTAAGTAAATTGAATTATTATTGAACTAAAGAAAGTTTAAATAATCTAATTATTTAAATATCTGTATCTCATCTTGCAATATTTATCTTCCTTGCAAGTGCCTTTCATTGTGTAATTGTTTTAAATATTAAATAATTTTTCCTAAGCTGTGCTCCAGTTGCTTACGTACATAGATTGAGACCATTACTTCATATCCTACCATCTTTAGTGACTGACTAAATACTTTTGTTTGTTTCCTGTCTTGGAATTATTTGTAATCATACGGTCTTGTTTTGTAGACTAAGTAATTGTTGTGGTTTAACCCAGCAGGCAGCTAAACACCACACAGCCATTTGCTCGCT